AAAAAAAAAAAAAAAAAAAAACACATCTTAGTAAAACCAATACCTTCTCAGCTTCGCATCGAAGCTAAAAATATTTGTATTTCATTATATTAAATTATTTTTTTATAGAATTGGTTAATAAATCTAACCACAATGAAGAAGTACAGCTAATTGATTTTCTTGGACAAGGTAAAATGACTGAATCGTAGATAATGATTTTTATAAATTTTGCTATAATTACAAGTTAACTATTAATTTGTTTAATTAAAAGAAACTAATATTATTATTCTCCCTTGTATTACTATAAAATTTTAATATGAGATATTCAATAAAATAATTATTCATAATATAATCTTTTAATTAGTTTTTTTTTAACAAGGACTTAAGCCCAATGATTCATATGAAGATAATCTAGACCCAATGGAAATTGATGAAAATAGGGAGAATTACATCAAGTTTTTATAGTAAATAGTTTTATTTGTAATCGCCAATCTTATCAGATAATGTTAAAATAATAATCTTTTATTGAATGTAAGAATAAAACGATTTATTTATGCTTTGATATTTAGTTGATATATTCAATTACCCTATTTCTTAGTAGACTGAAATCAGTCTACTAATTTTGCATATTATGAAAAATTTCTTAATATGCAAAACTAGTGGCGTAGCTAAGGAAACTAAGGTGACTATGACTCCCATTTAAAGAGTTATACATTTATAAAATAAATTGATCAAAAAAAAAAAATAATTTCAAGAATATGGATAGAAAATATGTAAGAGCAATATTGTTGTTTATAATCTGAAGGATTGAATAATTTACATGAATGAATTGAATAACGAGAATGGTAATCGTCGTCGTCTTTTTATTCAATTTATTTTGCTCTTATATATTTCCTATCTAATTCGATTAATAAAACAACAACCAATATCTTGTTATATTATAGAAAAAGTAAAAAACGCTATTCTAGGAAAATTACTTGGCATGCTTGGATTTTTGCCGTTTTCAGGAAAAACGCTCGTTGACGCTAGTGTTTTTCGTCTTAAGGTTTGAAATTTTCTTTAAACCCGCTCAATGACATTTCTGAGATATCATGCAAAAATCAATTAAACCCGTTAATTTTTCACCGTTTTAGGACCTTTTAGTTTCGATGCGAAGCTGAGAAGGTATTGGTTTTACTTAGATGTTTTTTTTTTTTTGTCTGTTACCACTTTTTCTCAGCTCTCACGGAAACGATTTCTTTAAATGATACGTCAATAGATCACAAATCGCATCTAATCGAAGATATTACCCTCAACAATTGAAAAAAATTCTCTCGTTCGCCGTAAATGGGGGAAACCTCCAAAAAAATTACAAATTTAAAAATGGCTAATTTTCGAAATTTTCGAAATTTTTTTTACTTAAAACTGCCATAACTTTTTCAAAAATGAACAAATGAATATAATTTTTTTTTTTATATAGATGCTTGATATCATTACCTTTCATTTGGTATATTTTTTTTTATATCTAACCCTTTACCTGACCACAGGGGGTATTTAAAATGACAACTATTTGAAAAAAATTAACTTTTTCAACTTAAATTTTGAAAATGTAACGGAAAGTCTGACACTTTTATATATATCTTAAATTAAAGCTAATGTAATGTACTTTTTGATGTAAAAAAAAATTTCAGACTTTATTTTGTCTTCACGGTGAAAATGGCTACCGAATGCTATTATTGTGTGAAAATTCTCGATTTTATTTTTTACATTTTTAACTTTATATTGATATAACTTTCTGAAAAATGTATGGATCAACATAATTTTTCTATGAGAAATGCTATTTTTTAAAAATCCCTTTTTCTTTCGACATACTTTATCTTAATCAGGATTAATAATTAATTAATTAATAAGGAACTAGCAGATTATGTAGCTTTTGGAATAATCCACCGATATTTTAAAATTAAACACTATCTAAAGATTTGCATCGAAGCGTTTTTTTTTTTATAGTTATTTTAATCACTGTCAGATATCATTATACTTGATTCAACTATGCCACGTCACCACAGTGCCGCGACCGTTCTGTGCTGGGTTGGTTTTTTATTTGAAATAAATAATTTTGGAGCTATCTGTCGGTTTATTTTAATGTATTTTTTACATGAAAATAATTGGGAGACTCTTTTTTTACTTAATTAGAAAGCGCTACACATGCGTTATTATTCCCTGATTCATTTTATTTAAAATATTTTTGTAAAATTAAATTTAAAGTTTAAGTTTTATATATTGTATTAATTATTTATTAAACCGCCCTTTACTCTCAATCTATATTTTTAAATGCTAACAATATTCAAATTATTGATTCTAAAGTTATAATCAATCAGTAATTTTCTATCTATAACACGTAAGTTGATAACATTTATATGGGGTCAGAAGGGATATAGGACTAATTTTTTTTTTGGAATAATAGTTGACTACTATTAATATCTGAAGAGAAATAATTAAAAGGTTCATTCTTCTAAACATTTTGTATTAGACAATATTAAAAAAATGCACTGTATTATAATACATTGATTGTTTACTTAAAAAGAACAAAATCTAATATTACTCCAATAACATATAAAACAAGATATATAAACCAATAAAATATTAATTAAGAGTATAAAAAATTGAATTATATTCTAAAATAAGCAATATTTTATGAATAAGTATTTAGATTTTTGTAATTTATACTCCCAAAACAGTAGTTTAAAACAATCAATATAACTATTATATAACTTTTGGAATGCTAGAGGTTTGTTGTTGTTTGTCGAAATTCCCAGTAAATCAAAAGAAAAGAAGAAAATAAAAAAAGAAATAACAATTAAAACCATGTTATTTTATCCTAAAATAATATGAAATCAGTTTTCTCAAATTTACAAAAAACTATTATTTAAAAAAAACAATGAATTAAATTCTTTTTTTTGTAAAAGCGAGTACTATAACAAAAACTATTTGTGTTTTTGATATCAAATTAACATTAAGAAAAAAATAGAAAATTAATCACATAATTGTAAAACTTCAACCCCTTTAAGGTACTTGAAAGGGTTAATATATCGTGTTCAAATGTTACTATAATTATTTTTTTACTGAACCTAATAAAATTTTGAGCCCGTGATTTTTAATTTAATAATTTTTTTTTTCTGTAGTTAAAAACCACTCAAATATTCCAATATTAATCTATTTAAGAAAATTGTCAAAAACTCCCGGTACTAAAAATATTCATTCATGGGTTCCATCCCTTGTGTTATATTATAATATTTAATAATTGTTTTTTTATTTGAAATAGATATTTTTGGTGCTCTCTGTCGGTTTATTTTAATATATTTTTAAAATGAAAATAATTGGGAGACTCTTTTTTACTTAACTAGAAAGCGCTACATATGTGTTATTATGCACTGATTCATTTTATTTAAAATATTTTTGTAAAATGAAATTTCAAGTTTAAGTTTTATATATTGTATTAATTATTTATTTTAATATTATATTATGAATTAAATCATAGAAATTAATCAAATACCTCTCTCTGGTATCAAGTTTTAATTTTTTATTATTTTGACTATTTTTCGTTTGGGTATCAGGTTAATTTAGATAAAAATTTTCTCTGATTGATACTATCTAAATATACCTATTTTTACTCACAAGTCACATAATTTCATTTTTTATTTCTTTTTTATACTGATATTGGTTTTTTCTTTAACTTATGTTATATTTATTATAGTTTTGATTTTTGGAATTTATTTGAGTATTTTTATGATATCTAATATCGGGATGATTCAGGTTCAATAACCTATTGAATATCATGAAATTTTTTTAAAAATTTAATATATATCATCAATTAAAAATATTCTGTCCAACTAATACAAAGAAGCTTTTGATTCCAAAATTTAAAAAACATTTTATAAATAAAAAAAAAATTAATGAGTGGTAACATAATGTTAAAATATTTATTTGAATTGTATATTATAGTAAAATTCGTGAAAATAGCATAAATATGTAAATTTGCGAAATTTTTCTGTCTTATAATTATTACTGTATATGAAATTTAAATTTTTTAGCTTCGATGCGAAGCTGAGAAGGTATTAATTTTACCATGATGTGTTTTTTTTTTTTATGTCTGTTGCCACTTTTTTTCAGTTCTCACTGGACTGATTTCTTTCAAAAATATGTCAAAATATCACAAATCGTATCTAGTTGAAGACATTACCTTTAAAAATTGAAAAATTTTCCCTCGTTCACCATAAATGGGGGAAATATCCAAAAAAATTAGAAATTTAAAAATCGGTAAATTTTGTCATTTTTTTCACTTTTTTTTCTTAAAACTTCCATAACTTTTTCAAAAATAAACAAATCAACATAATTTTTTTTTATACTAAAAGCTTAGATATTTTTCTTTCATTTGATATCATTTTTTTGAAAATCTAACACTTACCCTGCTCATTGGGGGGATTTAAAATAGCAACTTTTTTACAAAAACTAACTTTATCAACTTAATTTTTGAAAATGTTCCAGAAATACTGCGTCCTTTAAACATACATCAAATTAAAGCTTATTTTATGTACTACAAAATGAAAAAAAAAAATTTGTCCCGACACTTTTTTTTCTACATTTAAACGGCTGCCGTAGTTAAAAAAACACTATTTTTGTGTTAAAATTTTCGATTTTCGATTTTAAATTTTCAACTTAAAAATGCTATAACTTTTTGAAAAATGTATATATCAGCACAAATTTTTTTTTTCTAAATACATTATAAGTACATCTTTCATTTGACATACTTTTTATTAAAATTGGACAATTTCCCCTTATATAGGGGGCGTTCAAAACTTAAAATATTGTAAAAAACATAGATCTTTTTCAACTGAACTTTTGAAAATGTTCCGGAAATACTGCGTCCTTTAAACATATATCAAATCAAAGGTTATGTTATATACTATCAAATGAAAAAAAAAAATTTGTCCCGACATCTTATCTTCTATGTGCAAATGGCTGTCGAAAATTTAAAAAAAAATGTAATGTTTGCGATAAAAATTACATTTTATCGGGATGTTTTTTGTACTTAAAACTGCCATAACTTTTTCAAAAATGAACAAATAAAAATAATATTTTTTTGTATTGAAACCTTAGATATTTCCCTTTCATTTGATATAATTTTTTTTGAAAATCTAACACTTATTCTGCTCACTGGGAGGATTTAAAATAGTAACTTTTTTACAAAAAATAACTTTTTCAACTTAATTTTTGAAAATGTTCCGGAAATACTGCGTCCTTTAAACATATATAAAATTAAAGCTTATTTTATGTACTACAAAATGAAAAAAAAAAATTTGTCCCGACGATCTATCTTCTATACGCAAATGGCTACCATATTGAAAAATATACTATTTTTGTATGATAATTATGGGTTTTGTATTTTATTTTAATAGAAGTTGATGTTGCTTTTGCAATTATCCATCAATTTTTTAAAATTAAACACTATCTACAGATTTGCATCGAAGCGTTTCTTATGATAGTGATTTTAATCACTGTCAGATTAAATCTATACTGGACCCT